GACTGAAGGGTCCGCCGCATCTGAAACAACGACCCTCTTCCCTTCGTTTAAGATACTCCGGGTAAGGTAGATTGCGAACAGTCCGATCACCTCCGCCGCTAGTAGCCAGCCCCTTATTCCGTCCCTGTGTCGCGTCTTTATTAACAGACCCCACACTTTCCGCCGTTCCTCCTCGCACCGTCACCGAACCCGACGCCTTCCCCCAAGAATTCTGATTCTTGGATAACCACCCTCCTCCGGTCTTCGTGCATAATTTCTCCACATCCCTCGCCACTCGCATGGCGGTCATCAAATCCGTTGGATCATGTGGCCGGACATGATTGCCCACCTCTTCCCTCATACCGGACAGGAAATACCCCATGATCTGCTCCTCGGGTATCTGGGTCGTCTGCCCCACCAGAACTTCAAAATCGCGTATGTACTCCTCCATCGGTCCCGACTGTCGTATGGTTGACAGCCTTTCATACACCGTTCCTCGTGTTCCTCCTCCAAAACGGATACCAAGAGCTCTCTTCAACCCATCCCAAGAAAGGTTCTTGGTTTTCAGGTTGAAATAAAGTGTTAGAGAGTGTGCAAGCAACTACACTCCTCCTTGAACAATAGAAAGGTAGGATAGTGAATACATATGGAGGTAAGAAAGAAAAGACGCACGCAATGACAATTTAAAAAAGGATAAAAATGACATATCATGCTTTACATAAAGTTTTCTTTTTTCAAATAGCCTTTTAGATAGGAATATAGATATGGAATGTCAGAAACAGAATAAAGCGTGAAAATAAGATTCAAAAGAGTGAAATAGCAAAGGACCTTACTCTGCTTCCACATGCATTTATTTTTAATGTAATGACTAATGATTAGATTAAAATATTTGATGACAAGCATGAGAAAGCCTACCGTCAAAACAACTATTGCAGTAGTTGCAGTTAAGATGATCTGTCCATGTCCATCTGGCAGATCATGAATTGATTGCAGAGCAAGGGCAAAAGCCATTGCCCCTCGAAGTCCTGTACATGTTCATAAAGTACAAAACTCAACACAAAAAGACAGGGCACTAAAGAACACACCAAAATAAGGTAGTCTGTTTTATCGACAGAACCAAGAAAGCTTTCCAGATTATAGTCAAGGATTTGCAAAATTCTGAAACCTTACCACTATACCAAAGTGCTTTCTGATGTTTTCGCGGAATTTGTCGGCGGGTAGGTCTGAACAAGTTGACCAAATAAGCACATGAGAACACATTGGCTGCCCTGCACAAAGTGATCAAACAGTACTTAAATTTTCGTGGAGAAATATGAAAGCTAAGCACAGAGGTGTCAAAGTGCATGCATGTCTTTATAGTTTACCAAACTAGCTAAAAGCCTGACAAGCTCATATGTCACTCATCAATAACTCGGGACGATAGAAATTACAGCATAATACCTTGCAATTCCAATGAATATCTGAAGTGGTTACCAAGCAAGTTGAGAAGGAGGACAAATATGAAACATCAAGCTAGTACAGATCACAAAAATTGAAATTTATAGGATCAAATAAAGGATACAATGGAAAAGAATATAAATCCGACATGCGACCAACTATGTTTCTCCATAGCAATATCAAAGCCCATGTAGATAAATCTGTAGATCATTAGATAAAATGATTCACGTGCATCATTTAGAGGTAATGTTGAACTAGAAGGGAAAATCTGCCATTAAATCCTCCTTACACAAATGTCTCAGCTAACGATGATATCAACTCAAAAAAAGCAGAGACGAATCTTTGAGAACTACGTGACAAATTTGAATATGTGTAATGCTTCATGACCTAAAATGAACACAAAAGTAGGCATAAGAATGCTTTAAAACACATGAAATGACCAATAAAATTAAAAAAAAGATGCAATTACCATTCCTGTGAACAATATTGATACAATACCAGACAGTCCAAGACCTTCAGCAAGCATGTACCTGAGAAATAAAATAATTTGCACCAGCATAAAGAAATTTATAGAAATTTTACAATAAAGTTATGTACAAATGGTCCAAGGAGTTTTCTTACGAGAAATACGGGAAAAGAACAAAAAGACAGCTCTCCAAGTTCTGAAGACTAAATTGAAGAACAAAAAGATCAGTAATTTCAAGATATGACCTGGTTATATTGAACCAAGAAATGAAACATAAATACTTACTTGTCAATATCCAACCCTGAATATTTAAATAGGTATTGATAGTTAAGGTTTCACTATATTTTGACTTTTAAATCTCCAAAGAGTTACTAAGCTGCATATATATGTATACATGTTTAGCATAACCGTTAATTTAAAAGGATATTAGAGCAGATACAAAACCAACTCCAACACCTGCAGAGCCACCAAAAAAATGCCAAATCAGGAATATTGAAAATTAACAATTTTGAATTAGATTCTCTTTCTAATAAAATCATCTTACTTTTTTCTTTTTTCATTTCTTTACCAATCCAAACAACCTCACTTTCTATTAAAGACAAAAATGGAGAGGAATGGGGGCGGTGAGAGATTGACTATACCCATCCTTGTCCCTAAAGTAAAAACTCATACACATTCACGTGACCAGTACGAGATGGATATGAAGTTTGCTTCACATCCACATCTTTGTCAAAACAAACATACTTGTACCCACCCAAATATTTATTAAATATTTTTTTCACAAAAAAAAAGCTAAGGAAACATGATATTATGAAAAATTCAATACCAAAAGGACACACGTTTTCTTCTCTTCAATATCAAATAATCAAATAATAACAAAAATAAATTATACTTACAAAAATTTTAAAATATAATACTAAATAAACTAAAGGTATTTTAGTAATTTAAAAGGAGACAGGTATTACTCATACACATTCTCATTCCCTCGAGTTCAAACGATACTTGCTGAGGTTTAATTGTCATCCCTACCTTTAACTTTAATTCTCTTTCTTTCTTTCCTTCTTCACTCCCTCTCTTTCAATCACCTCATCTAAACAAAGTGTAAGAGATTATTTAACAACCATTGGGTTACTAACCATAGCCATTTGAAATAAAATAAAAAACTCATGGTAGGAAGTATAATGAACCAATTGTTCAAGGATAACTAATAGGGACTTGAGTATTATGGGGTGCTCTCACATCAAGTAGGATGAAATGTTCAATAGAGTATTAAAGTATCTAGTTCTCCTCCCTTGATGGTTAGCTTTTAAGGGTGGGTTCTCCAAGTGATTGGTTACTTACCTCTTGATAAAGAGTTGGTTAATCGGTTCCTTGAAATGCTTTATCCCCCCTAAATAGCTAGCTTTTGAGGATGGGTTCTTTAAGTGTTTGGATACTTATTAATGACCAAGCACCCAGAGCAGCCCAAAGCCACCCACCAATGTCGTTCAACAGATAAGTTGGCACAATCTTATCCTGCATCACATGTACAGTTGTTCAATCCCCCAAAATGATCACATAACTGCTAGTAGGAAACAAGGTGTATGAAGATACAAATCAATCCATATCACGGCGATTCGCATGATCATGACCAGGGTGATAAATGTGGTATGTATAGGGGAAGAGAAACCCTAACCAAGTATGCATCATTCTCCATTTTCTCACTTTTTGACCTCACTGACTTGAGTATCATAATTCTTGCAGGTGACAACCCACCTTAACTGACTATTGGAGAAACGTAGAAGGACAAGGATAACAACAAAAGTCACCACAAGAAAGATTCAACCATCTCGGGGTTGTGAAGAACACAATCTATTCTACATTAAACAGTCAATACGATCTCCAAGAACAGGAATAATAGTTTCTCATGTCCGTCACACAACGGACATTTCTCGTGTCCTCCACCAATAGTAATAGTTTCTATTACTATTCATCAGTCAAGTATTACAACAATCTTCCACAGGTAGATCCAAATCTGTTAGTACCATTATAATTATGTGTGCTTCTGCTAAACAGGACAAACTCCTTTCAACAAGTTGGAGTCTGAATGCTTCATTTGAACAATTGGAATACCAATCTGCATCAATTTCTATCATAAATGATATTCATCTAATTTTGATAATATATGTGATTTCATTAAGTGGTACAAATAAAAAATACTTTGGGAATCCTCCTTTTACAGATTTAACATGTTTTAATAATATGACACCAATAGGGTTATTTTCACCAAATATAAGGATTTATGTAACCATTAAAATTGATAAGAAACTTAGTTTCGTTTTAATCAAAATCCCAAGTAGAAGGGGTTGAGTGACACAAAAATTGGGGGGAATAGGTAGGGAAAGTACGACAGTCGATGGGGATAGTCATCTTTAAAGCCCATAAACACTGCATTAAGAGAACATCATGTAAGATTTATAAACCAACCAGCAGACATTGACCCGACAAAAGTCTCTAAAAATCTAACAACCACCATGAAGAAATTTTGTCCAGATGGATGACTTTTTATCACTGTCATTGTCCTGCAAGGTGAATATTTGAGTCAAAATAATGATAGGTTATCTTATATAAACGTAGAAATTTCCATATACCTGTACAAAGAAATAGCCATCTGCCAGCGTAGATTAGGGGTGAGAAAGGAGAGACATAAAAGAGGGAAAAGATCAGCAAGTGGTACCATCCATGTTTAAATCACAATTGATTCACTTTCAAGAGTAAAAAAGAAAAGTTGTAGTAATAGAAAATTACTGCATCATTCAAAACAGATTCTCCAAAAACCAAGGCATAAAGATTGACGTCTGTGCCAAGCTCCTGCAATCAGAAACAAATCGAATCAAAATGTAAGGTGCATAACATATTATAATACTAAAGTGAAATAGAAAGATAACAGATGACAGGGTAGTCGAATTGAAATCAGGAAAGCCTAAACATTCACAAGTTAATAAAATGCTACTGAAAAGCATTGGTTAAGGGAGCCGAAGAGCTCTAGAAAGCGGTTACCCAAAATGGTTCTTCCCAACTGACAACATGTTGCATTCAGGAGCAATTGGCATAACCTTAGAAGCGAGAAGACTCGGTACAAGAGTATGTAGCATGCAGTAGAGGTACAAGCAAATAGAAGAAAAACAAAAATTAAAGCAATATGTAAATCACATGACCTGAAATATGGACAAAACAGTAACAGGATCGGTTGCGGATATCAGTGCACCAAACATTAGACACTCAACAAAAGGTAATCTGTACATGAGGTACATCAATCCGCCAATATAACTGTGGACAGAGAAGCAAACCAATGAAAAGAATCACTGGTATGGAAAAAATGAAAAATGCCAAAAAAAAAATGCTTACACTAAGACACCCGTCACAATGGAAGCCAGAAAGGTGCCGAATATAGCAAACGTGACAATAGCTCCAAAATTAGAGAAAAAAGGTTTCTGCAAAGAACGCAAAGTGAAAAGACCAATTTGAAAAGAAAGAATGCAACAAGAAAGAAAATAAAAACTTACAGGCGAGAGACTGAAGCCAGACTGAGTAAAGCGAAAGCGCAAGGTCAAGGAAATGAAAGAAATAAGTAATTGTGATGAAATAAAGGAAAAAAAGCAAACAAGAACAGCAGAAGAACGCGAGTGGTTAAGGATATAATATTATGGGAGGTAAAAGGAAGAGGAAGAAAAACTCCTCGTGAAAGTTGAACCACGCCCTGTTTGGGATGGGAGAGAAAGTGAGGAAGTGAGGTTCCAGAGAAACAGAAAAAGAAATGAGAGAATAGGAATGGAAATAGAAAGTGAATTGAGACCTGATACTAGTTTGAGTGTGAGAAATGTTAGCGAGTGTACCAACGAGCAAGCCAATGAGAAGAGAAGCGCTGGCTTCGGGAAGAACGTAAATCTTCTTGCGACGAAGGATGTGACCTAACACGAAAGACAGAACCAACATCATTATTTGAAGGAGAATCCCCACTCCCGCCGCCTGCTGCTCTTTGCTGCCGCCGGTCACGTCCATGCCGTCCACCGGAGATATTGGATTGCTACCCTCTGTCATCAGTTCAATCGACCCAATTCCCTTTCGCTGTCTCTACCACGCTCTCTTCTTGTAAACCATTAATTAGATATCAAATAATCGTAATTTATAGTTTCTGCATTGGTTGCTTATGGCCCGTTTCAGTTTGGGTTGCCACGTGGAATTCAGCGCCTCTGCCATCTGTCCTTTACACAGAAAGTGCATTTTTGACTTTATATTAAAACCTATTTTAAATTGTTTATTACATTTCCTCGTATATAGTCCAAGATCCACGTGTCACCCCATTATCGCGTGCACTTCAAAATCTCAGATCACGCGGGCCAACCCACTTTTCTTTAAATGATAAAATAATTATATAAAAAATTATGTTTACATTTCCTACTATGTAATTTTTAAAATTTTAATATTTTGAAAGAATTAAAATATTTTTCTGTAAACATGTTTTGAACTTTGTAAAATTTTAATTATACAAGTAATGTTAAAATGAACTATAATTCGTGAGTTAATTCAATTTATCGTATGTTTAAGCTGGGTTGGGTTTGAAAAAAATGTAATTATTTTTATGTGGGTTAGTTTTCAACTCGATTCACTTAGAACTCAACTCGGTTGAACCTGAAGTAAGAATTATTTATTATTTTTTGTTTCAATATTATTAGTTAACGTTTTTTTATTATATTGTAAATAAGGATAAAAACAAAAATGTTTCAAGAGAGAAAAATATTATAGATTTATCTATTGAAGATTCTGATATTTTAAATGGAGAAGTGTACAAAAATTATCAATATTAAAAAATTATTTGTTTTTGGATCACACTTGGATTATATGATATATTTTTTTATTTTGAATTGTTTTTATAGTTTAACATCATTTTAGAATGAAATTTATTTAGATTTAAAATAAAATATATATATTTTTTATTTAAAAAAAACTTATAATTAAATGAATCAATGAGTCAATTCCTTTAACTCATGGTGGGTTGAGTCGGATTTGAATTTTTTCAGCTAATAAATGAGTGAGGTTGAGTTGGCTCAACTCGTAGTGGCCGAGCCAAGTCAAGCCAATTATCCGTTTTGACCTCTAATTATATATATATATATATATATATATATANAAACTTATAATTAAATGAATCAATGAGTCAATTCCTTTAACTCATGGTGGGTTGAGTCGGATTTGAATTTTTTCAGCTAATAAATGAGTGAGGTTGAGTTGGCTCAACTCGTAGTGGCCGAGCCAAGTCAAGCCAATTATCCGTTTTGACCTCTAATTATATATATATATATATATATATATATATATATATATTTTATCTTCTTATCAAATAAATTTTTTCATTATTGATAAACAATCCAATTATTAATAGAAAATATCTATATATAAGCAACTACTAAAGTTTTTTAAGCCTTACGTACATTTATACCTGTATAAATAACTATCATTAATATCTCTAAATATACAGTGATTTTTTATGTGAATAATTTGACAAGTTAAACCGTAGGATTAATATATAAGTAATTGACATTAATGTTACGAACGAATACATTGTGTTAACAATTTGATATTACATTAATAATGAATTAAGATTATTGAACTTTTAGAAAATTAAAGAACTAAATAGATGAAGACGAAAAAAGTGGATGCAAATTGCAATGCATTATTACATTTGTAATGCAAGAAAGATGAAAGAAAAAGACAAGGTTGTGGTGCGTTTGTATGGTTGGTGAAATGTGACAAGGAAAGATTTGTAAAAGAAAAGGTAAGGTAGGGGCAAAAAGGAGTTAGTTGGTTAATGAGTATGGTAGCGTGAGTGGGACGTTTCCATCTTTTTCAGAATCTCACCCAACCCAACCATAACCATTTCACTTTTGTTCTGTTTTGCTCTGTTCTGTTAGTTAATTGCCAGAGCTCAACTCCTTCTCCCAAGGTTCGTTTCATTGTCTCACTTGTCGCAAAAGCTACTTTCATATATTTTCTTTGTTTTTTAATTGGGTATTCCTCCAAAATAATTATGTTTCTTTCGTCAATTCACCAATTCACCAATTTCAACACTTGTGTATATAATATCATCCTTGCCCTATCCATTGTCGCTTTTCTTTTGCATGCCAATGTTATTCAATCGATTGTTGGGAGAATTAGAAGCTGGGTTCCATTTAGTTGCTGCAATTATTTCTAGGTTGTCTTTATATTTTTTGTCGTCACGGTCTCCAAGCAGATACTTCGACACCAGAATGTTTATTTATTTAATTGATTGATTGATTTTTGCTTAGGAAATTGAGTGGATTCTGGGAAATTTACAAGTTCAAACATAGTGTTTTGGAATTACCTAGCAAGAGGTGCAGTTTCTTAAAGTATATAAAATTGAGAGTTTATTTATCTAAGACGTGGGATTACTGATATCTCTGATTGAAATGCATTATAAACCTATCAATATTGCTGTCTGCATTTAGTTTTGTTCATCAACCGTAAGTTCTATTATGGTTGAAGAAAACTTATTCCACCCGTAAGATTAAAATGATTTTAATCAGGCAATAACTCCTGTAGTCCATTTTTTTTTCCTGTCTGACTTGGATTTATTCTAACAGAGAGCATCCTATCGGATCTCTGAAACCTTTACATCCTTAATACTGCACCTGCATATAATTATAAGACAGTTCAACATCTTCTCGTTGTATTGTATCTCTTTTTGGGTTATTTGACTAAGTTGGCTTTATTGTCATAATATTGGAAATGCTACTTGCCTACAATGATCGTATAGAATCCCTGGTGTCCCTCTTTTTTTATATATTGTTATTTGCTGACTGTTCTTGCGTAATTTAATTATTCAGTGTAGAATCAGATATGCACTTTGAATTTTGAATCCTACACTCAGTTTGGTGCTTATATTCTGATGTTTTTTTTCTGTTGTTATTATTATAGCCTGCCGGCATCTCAATGATGAAACAAGAATCATCAGAGGTGTTGGAAAAACATGCAGGCACGGGCTCTCGTGTGAGGGGGGATAGTGAATATGTTAGACTGGTCATACCTGATGAATCAAGGGCTGTTGAATCTGAAATCTTGCTGCCTCGACCAGAATCAAGATTAAAGTCTTTCTGGTGGTGGATTAAATCCTTTTTATGGTGTGTTGTCATTGTGATACTTGCTTTTATTCTTATCAGATGGGGAGTGCCACTGTTTTTTGAAAAGGTATTTCCTCTTTCTTTTACAACTATTTAGGTACTACAGTTGCATCTTCTGTTCAGAATGCACCGGTATTGAAGTTATTTGGCTAATATGCATTCGTTGATATTGACTAAATCGTGGCAATCCCGTGTCACCCTCAGTGTTCTTATAATATTTCTGACTGAAATATATTATTGTGGAAATGATGTTACTTCAATTATTTTGTGGAAATAGCTCAAATAAACCCACAAGATCATTTACCAAACACAAACGAATAACAACTATAATGGAGAAACCCGCAAGAAAAGTTAACGTTAACAAAGAAAAGTAATGAAGAAAGCACATAAAAATTAATGTGGTTCAATTAAAGTGTCACCGAACTTCAATCTACATTCACATTCTGATATTTACTATTAACCGAAGTTACAGCTCGAACTCTCAATTCTCAATTGGGTAAAACAATTTATAAAAGGTTTTATTTATATAGAAACAATTGTTACACGTCTAAGCTGTTTGAGAAGACATGTGAAAAGTGCTCCCACATCTGAGCTTGAAACGTCAACAACAAGGCGGACTTTCTAATGACAAATGAAAGCAGTTACAGTTAGACGGTCTTCAACATTAGACAATCTAGAAACCGTAATCAAGATTTCACTGAGCCAATCTTCGTGGTTATTGTTGCTAATTCCATGCTCTCCTCCAACTTGATTTAAATTATGCTTCACAAACGAACAAGTTGCCGTATTTTTGGTAAATGTTTTGAAGGAAATGTCTAGATGAATTGACTTAATGTGCAATCTATGGCATGGATGAAATCTTGCAGCAAAATAAGATGGACTCTTTTCCTTCAACTCAGAAGGAATTTCCTTTTTCACACTTTCTGTTTTCATTTTCACTTCCCAAAAACGCTGACATTTTAAGGTTACTTCTGAGCATGATATTAAAAAAGACCATTGTAGTATGGACATCTTTGCTACTCCTAAAAGCAAGTTCAGACTCTATATTTCAGGTCTTGTGGAATGGCATGCATTCCATATGGATGCTTGTAATATTTGATTAAATTAATGTTTTGATTCTTTATCATTTTATTTTTGATATGCAGGTTATTTACCCATTTATGGAATGGGAAGCTACTGCCTTTGGCCGTCCAGTTCTTGCTATGATACTTGTTGCTTCTCTGGCTTTATTCCCAGTATTCTTAATCCCTTCTGGCCCCTCCATGTGGCTGACCGGGATGATTTTTGGTTATGGCTTTGGCTTCGTTATAATAATGGTTGGAACAACCATTGGGATGGTCCTGCCTTACTTAATTGGGCTACCGTTCCGTGACCGCATTCATGTAAGTCGTTTTATTTCTTATATGATCAACAGTCTTCTTAAATTTTGTGCTGTTTTTTCTCTGACTAAGTTTTTCATTTTGTTTGTGATTGTTGCCTTTATATTCTCCAGCGATGGTTAAAGAGATGGCCCCGGAATGCTGCAATGATTAGGCTGGCAGGGGAGGGGAACTGGTTTCATCAGTTTCAAGTCGTTGCGCTGTTTAGGGTTTCTCCTTTTCCCTATACTATTTTCAATTATGCTGTGGTAGTCACAAATATGAGGTTTTGGCCCTACATATGTGGATCAGTAGCTGGAATGGTACCAGAAGCTTTCATCTATATCTACAGGTTTGTTTTCTTTCTATTTAGGGTCCTTCATTGGCTTAATGAGTTCCCAAAAGAAAAAGAGTAGAAAGAAAGAGGAATTGTAAATATATTGCAATTGCAAAGACACTTGCCATTTCCTCCATTCTTATCTGGTTAGAAGACAAAGTAGTGAGTGAAACCTTTTCGAGTTTTGTTGAGTTCTGTTAGATGTCCAGACAAATACCCTCTCTAACTCAAACTCTTTTTTCTTACCACGATTACCGGGATTTTTTTTGTGTTTTTCTTTATAATTCTTGACCCCACATTAACTTTTTATTGTTTTTCGTCAGTGGTCGGTTATTAAAGACGTTGGCTGACGCACAGCACCGGAAGCACCACTTGACTACTGTGGAAATCGTATACAACATTATTTCTTTCATTATTGCAATAATTACCACTATTGCTTTCACTGTTTATGCAAAGAAAACGCTCAATGAACTCAAATTGACAGGGTTGAATGAGGAAGTGACCTCTGTTTCTGAAAAGGGGTGTTTTGAGATGGAGAAGCTTCCCCTTGAACGGCCTAAACATCCTAGTTGGTCGAAATTTTCGTGACTCGTTTATTGACAAGTTGCTTTTGAATTACATTTATAAATCATAATATTTTTCCCTTTTATTATGTCTTTTTGATTTTCATATGACAACCCCTTTTCTCCCATAGTTCATTTTGGGGTTGTAATATAATAACAATATTTTGAGAACAGGTTAAAGGAGAAAATAGAAAGAGGCCAACAATGATTTATGTAAAGAGTTGAGAAGGACTGATTGAATTGTATTATGCAATACGTCTGAGTTCCAAATTGGAACCATGTATCTTGCAGATGTAAATTTGTGACCTCTCTTGAACTATCCTTATGTTGTTCTGTTCCGGTGCTGACTGACTGACACTGCATTATAGTCTCAATCACCATCTTATGCTGTCATACAATGTGTTAGTCGTTTATTTAAATGCGTGTGAAACAGTGTATCGATGGTTTGGAACCTTGGTATGATACTCCTGTTTTGCCACTGCCAGTAGGGAGATGGGATAGCATGGAAGCTCAATTGTAGATGTTGACGCCTCTTATAAAGTGTTTAATGGTAATGCCATATTCATCGGATAATGATTTCCACAACTTCCGCATGAAAAGGAAATGATGTCCCACAGTCCTAGACTAGAAAGAGGATCAGTCCCTAGCATATGGCACCCGATTCGATGGAGTACATGAAAGAACATTCAGCGGCTTTAAAGTTGGAATTTAAAATCAGCACGGCATTCAGTAATGAAATGCTACCAGTCGCCGCCTCCGGTTTTGATACAATGATTTTTGTTTTATTTGAATTGGCAAGTGCATGTGCAGGTCCAGAGGAATTGGTCCCAACCTCAAGCACTCTCATACACACTTGCTTCGTTGGAAACGAAACAATTGTTTATACCAACCAATAAATTATTTAAGAATGAAGTGGCATTTTGAGTAAGCACACGTAGAACAAACGAGCTTTTGCAAAATTGAAAGAAAAAAAGTCCTCAAACTAGTAAAGAAAAAAGAAATTGGTTAAGGTAACTACTCTAAAACATTAGTTCAACGTGTTCCTTACATTATGCTCGTTTTCAAGTTTAAAGAATTCAAGATCTGATACATACATACATACTAAGTATATCACAAAAAAAAAAAAAAAACAAGACAGTCTCAAGTACCACTATCTATTTTTAATGCTAATCTTGAAGGCGAAGATTGTTCTTAGACAAACAAGATTCACTGGGCCTAGTTGCACTACTTTCACTTTTCCTTGGCTTTAATGTACCTCCATCTTCAAAATCATCAATACGCTGAAGTCACATATGGTACTTAGGGGAAAGAGGATGATGAATGGCAAACACCTCATGGTTTCCATGGTGCAGGAGGTGGGGGCGGCGTTGGAAACATTGGGGGAACGGCAGAGAAAAGAGTGTTTTTGTCTATTCCTGAGCTTTTATCACCCGACAACGCCACAAGCGCAGCTACTAAACCTGCATTGCCTGCAAGAGTTGGTTCTGTGTAGTTATAGTTGGTTCGGACATCATGGAACCCGTCGTGCTTGTCAGGACCAGCAACCATAGCTCCAACAATTGTATGTGGGTTTGGCTTCGGCGTGTCCCTCCACCTCCATCCTCCTTTACAGTTGTACTTAACTTTATTCTTTGGTACAGAAGCCCCTCTATGGTGAACATGTTTTGGATAATGATTGCCAAAACCTACAATATAGCTCATTTTCCGAGGGTTCTTCCCAAGAATGTAATCAATCTAGAAAATCACCCAGAAAAGATAAAAGGAAAATAAATTAGCCCAGACACATGATATTAGCTTTCATCATGCACGATTTAAAAGAGTATAATAGCACACCTGGGTCTTCGCAAAATTTCGAAGAACATCAGTTGAAAAGAAATTGGGACCGCAGTACCATCCAGGAGTATCAGCGGCATCGAGATAATCACTGTAAAGGGCAGCCAAAAATGCTGCATTGACAACATATTGGAGAGGCTGAGGCCTACCATGGTTTAATTGAATCAAGCCGCCTGGTGAAGAAGACATCATTATTCTCATTAGAACAATAGTTGGAAAACCTGTTGCGCAGAAAAAAGGTCGAAAGTCGGAGAATTATTTACCCCTTGTTCTATTAAAGCTGGTGAACATTGGCAGGTAGGAACACATGATTATGCCTGTCTGGTTGTGAAATGTCCTTAAAATTTCTTCATACGGATAACCAGGACTCAGGAACAACCTCAATCGACTCAGAAGAACCTAAATACAAGACAGAACATTAAGTTACTTCCCTTCCACTCTTGAACATATTTCCAGAATTGGAATTCTTAAAAATTCAAAACGAAGCAGCCGATCAAATGGTCCACATGAGGTGTTGAAAGCAAGGGAACCTTCTAAAGTTAAACAAGTAATGAGAATGGCCCAAGTTTTGAGTTGAAAAGCATTGTGAATAAAAACGATAAATTTCTGGAAAATGCAGTAATTCTTGAAAGCTATTTGGATAACCCTTTTAACCAGAAGCTATGGCTGTTTGAGAAGAAAATAAATGTAAAAATGAATTGAGTTTTTCCGCTAGAATCAACATGCCACCTCCGTTTTTTAGCAAGTTAGATAAGAAAACTAATCTAAAAGATAAAAGTGCATATGAGAAGATTTCGGTGATAGAGCTGCTTGATTGGAACTGAGCACAGAAGCTGACAATTGAAACTGACCTTAGAGGTGTTGAGTCGAAATTGAAATAATGAGGTCAGAACAAAACAAAAAAATATAAAAAAAAGAAACAAAACAGAGTGATGCAGTCACTAAAGTGAGATTGATAAAAACACCAAATAGCTTAATTAGGTCGCAGATAAGTGGAAACACGAAGGGAGAAGACAAAAGGAATTACCTGAGCACCAGTAAGCTTGTTGTCCCAGCTGAGGACACCATAGTCAGGACCTCCCCAGAAGGCGCCAGCATGTTTGGCAAGGCCAGGAGTGGTAGCCAGCTTTAGGTACGACGAATTCCCAGTGGCAAAGTACATCCAAGCCCCTCCCCAAACAAACTCATCCCAATAGCTAGTCGAATTGTAGAACACAGAAGCCTCGTTACCCTGACTGTACCTCCCTCTCTGCTTCCTCGAAAAGCCATACAGCGTGGTGGCGCCGTGAACCAGCTTCTGCGAATACGCCCTGTTGTCCTTGAACACAATCGAGGCGGCAGCCAAGGCCGCCGCCATCTCCGCGGCGAGATCGGAGCAGCTACTGCACTCCTTGACGGGGCGGGTGTAATCGATGTCCTCGGGCCTCATCCAGCAGTAGTGGTCGTTAGGAGTGGTGCTCCCATCAGAGGTGTCGCCGGAGCCAACCTGAGCGGCGATGGAATTAATGGTGTCGGCAGTGTGGTTGAAGGTCTTGAGAAAGTAATCGGTTCCCCACTTGATGAGTTCCTTGACGTGAGCCAACTCTCCGGCAGCCTCGTACTTGGCGCTGTATTCGATGACGCTCCAACTGAGCATGGTCATGGCGAAGGCCTTGGGGAAGTGGAATTTGATAGCGTCACCGGCGTCGTAGTAACCGCCTATCAAATCCTTGATCGCACTCGACGTACCTTCAGACTTCTTCCCATCGTCCATGCACGAGTTCCCTCTCCACGAAACGTTGTTATGCCTCGGAAGCTTTCCCGCTACGCACAAAACAAGGAACCAAATCAACTAATCAATTAAAGTAGAATTACGATAAAGAAATAATAATGGTGAAATGGCTGGTTACATTTTTGGGCGTTGAAGAAGAGGAGGGCTTTGTGGAGAGCAAGAGTGTAGTTATCGGGAGGAGCGGGCTTGTGGTGGTGGCGTGGGACGGTTTTGACTATGAGAGTGATTAAACCGGCGAGGACAGCGGAGACGGCGAGAGTGCCAAGTGTCCAGATAAAGATTTTGCGGCTGACGATGATGCATCCCAGATCTACGTATTTCTTCTTCTTCTTTTTCTGTTCTCCGGCGCCCAGGAGCCAGCTCTGTTGAGTCTCGTCTAATGCCGCGCGGTCCAACTCCTGAAGATTGCGGCTGCGCTCGTCGTCGGTGGCGGAGTCCGTGGCGTGGATCTCCAGCGGCCCTCCCCACGGATCCCTACCGTACATACTCATTTCGGATACCAACCCCTACTTCCCAGTCACCAATCCCCAATCCCTAATCTAACAACGTAATGCAATGTTGTGAATGGTAAAGTAGATTTGCAGTGACTCCTTCTCTCTGTGTGCAGGAAGTGTCGGTTGTGGAGACAGAAGGAAGAGACGACTACTGAGACACGTGATGTGACGCGCCTTACTCTTCTTTTTTCCACATTCCTTTTTATCTCTTTTTTTCTTCGCATATTAAATTATTGATGTTCGCGACACCCGTTAGCCAGCTCACTCTCACTAATCCGCACTCTCTCATCCAACGGCTCTCCTTCCACTCCTTTTTCTTTTTCTTCCTTATTATCAACCAGCAATTAATAATTATTTTCAGCAAAATCAACTTAAATAATTTATGCAATTATTTAAACACGACAAAAATTAGGAACAGTGGGTAGATTAAACAAACACAAACAGAGATGTGTACCACACAACACAAATCCTGCTTTTCTTTTTACTTCTACCTTCGTTGTTATCATTGATTTGTGAATTTAGTCTCTTTAATTTCTTCACAAATATAAGGCGACAAATTAATTGATAAACAAAAAAGTTACGCAATGAAATAATATGAAAAATAAATTTGTGGAACATTGAATAAAAATATATAATAATTCAACCTAATAACTAATTAATATTCTAACAATTTTTTTAGTATATGGCCTTGTTTAATCTTCTTTCTTAGAATAATAACACGTTTCTTAAAATTGGATAAGTTGATTCCGTAATGGGCCACTCTGCATTATGGCTTTTGGGCCGTCCAACTGTCCAATTTGACCGGAAGCATATATTCCAAATTTCCAATTTGTCAGTACCAAATTTATTATTCTCTATGGTTTATTTCCTAATATTAGACGAAGAAAAATAAAAATGCATAAAAAAATTGAAATTTGAATTAAAAATAAAATAAAAATAAAAATTCCTGTTCTTAGAAATTTCCTTTTCTCTTTTCTTATACTTTCTTTCTAATCAAGCACAAAAAAAAAAAAATGAATGGTGCCAAAAAATTAGAATCTAATACAATAATGCCATATTAGATAACTAAATATAGACATTTCAGTGGAATAATAACAATTTTCAAGAGAATTATTACATGCTTGTAAAGGCTTCCAAAGATTATTTTCAAGAGGCATAAAATAGGATCTATAACATCACAATAATCTTTGACATTTGTAACTGCACGTATAACAGTTTTATATTTATTTCATACACAATATAATACAAGATGAAATCATCGTAAAAGAATGAATTTTTGTATTATTTTTATAAAAAAGAAAATAAAAAGTAAAAGAAATATATTATCATTTCTTTTATATTTTGTGAATGCATTTTAGCATCCCTTTATAACGTTTCACTCATTTGGAGAAGAATGACAGAGAATTCAAAAGTAAATTATTTGTTGTTTATTTGAGTAGATTTAAAGATAAATAAAAATAGATTTGAAAATAAAATTTATAAAAATTAATGTAAAATTTAATTGATATGATCGATTAAAAAAATTAGCTTCTAAATTCACCTCACTTATTTCTAAATCTATAAAAAAAAAAAAAAAAAGTTTAGCTTTAAATGTTCTCAAATTCGTTCCAAATCAAATCAACAAAGTGAATAAAGTTTTTGAGTTGATAAACAATGAGAAATTTATTATGCTTCGTTATTGAAAAATGCGAGGACATGTGGCAAAATCTGAAGCATTGGTAAAATCAAATGGCTGACAGTATTTAAAGGAATTGAAGTTGGAAGCAGGAGCAAAACACTCCTCTGGTTGGTGTTTGAAGTTGGAAGCATCAGTAATGGTATGCAATGCCTCTGATGCCTTCATCTGCTATGTTCATGGCTACTCATTGATCATTGTTACACTTGTTTGTAATTAAATTAACAGGCAAGCGCAAGTGTTGCTAAAGAAGAAGATAACAAACTCACGCTCTATTCGTATTGGAGGAGCTCTTGTTCCTTCCGAGTCCGAATCGCTCTCAACCTCAAAGGTACTTCAACTTCCTTCCTTTCTCTCTTTCTCACACTCACTCACTCGCCATTGCTTGTTACATTCGATTCAGGCCTTAAATACGACTACAAGCCCGTCAATCTGTTGAAAGGAGAACAATATAGCCCCGGTTTGTTTTCTAACCCTAAATTTCCCTAATTGCAAGATATTCATCGATTAACGAAAGAGTTTCCTCTTTTTCAGAGTTTCTCCAGCTCAACCCTGTTGGTTGTGTTCCCGTTCTAGTGGATGGCCACGCTGTTCTTTATGATTCTCTCGCCATTATTTTGGTCTTCTGTCCTTTCTGCCACTTTTCAAAATCTTTAATGTCTCATCTTCGCTGTTAGTTTCCTCTTTAAATGCCTATCGTATTTTCTGTTCTAATGCATGCAGTATTTGGAAGATAAGTATCCTCACAATCCTCTGCTCCCTCGTGATATTCCTAAGAGAACAATCAATTTCCAGGTACACTTACATTCCATTCCTCCAAGATGAAACTAACGATAATAATGTTATTCCTTTTTATCCAATATTGAAGGAAAGAGAAAGGGGAGTTTCGCAACCTAATGCGTGCATTCTCTTCTGATGTTTTGATCCGCAGGCTACTAGTGTTGTTTCCTCAACAATACAACCTCTTCATAACTTGAGTTTACTGGTAAGTTATGCGTTCAGTTTTTTTATTTTCTTATTTTTTTAATATATTGTTTCCTTATTTATTTGCTTACCAAGAAGCCATAGCTGGGTGCTGGATTGCCAGGTATGTTTATTGTTATTTTACTTTTATCTTTGCAGAACTACGTTGGGGAGAAAGTTGGTCCTGATGAAAAACTTCGTTGGGCACAAAGTGTAATTAGAAGAGGCTTTACAGGTGAGGTTTGATTTGCTTGCTGAAAATGCGTTAAAGATAGTAAGAAAGGAAATAGAAGAAAAAATAGAGCTTTTGAAGTGTCAACATTTGTTTGAAGTTAAACAATTTACTCTGAAATACTAGCGTATTTCTCACTATAACATAACATAATTCATGAAACAGTTTCATTTTCTGAATTTTAGTTCTATCTCATTTGTCTAAAAGTTAAGAGCCTAGTGTTATATAGCTTATATCTAAACGACTCAAAAAGGGGATGACCCCGTTAATTAAAATTTGCTTCCTATAGAGTGGATCCTACTATCCTAATTGGTGTCTTCTTAAATATTGTAAGTTTTTCATCTATAGGCAGTACATACAGAATTTGACTGCACCAAATTGAAATGACAGTCAACCAGGAGCGGAGTAATTGAGTCTCCAGTACTTAAACACTACAGCTTTTGATAAACAACTTGTTTTTAAATTGGAGTCATGAATTGGGCAAAAAAAAAAGGAAGAGGGAAATCTTTGGTGACAACGTATCCTATCCAATGTTCCAAATTATCCCTAAGTTGGTGTAGTTCATGAGAGTTGGAGCAATTTTTAACCAAATGCATTGCCTGATAGTTGATATCTGTTTGTTACTGTCGAAATGTTCAACCATATTTTTTGCATGTTTCATTAAATTTTGGAAACTAACTGCTAATAGAATCGCAGTGTATGTAAATGGTGCTTAATTGTGTAAATAGTTTAAGAAAATATTCACCGTTATCCCCCCGTTATTAGATATATCCTGTTTATGTACGTATTTCCAGATTTTGGTTTGTTTCTGTCTTAATCAAATGCTATTTATAAAACTTGTGTTTCAGCACTTGAAAAGCTATTGAAAGACCACACAGGAAGATATGCAACCGGGGATGAAATTTTCCTGGTATGTTGGTACTTATAGGAGTTTAGTCATTTGAAAATTAATAAATGGAAGAGCTAACGTATTTCCAAATAGTAGCCTTAAAATCTTGATTAGCAATATGAGAAATCCCTGTGTCTGACTGTGGCACAATGCAATATCTTCACATTGATCCTCTTACTAGAGCTGTCAACATGGGTTACCCGTCCTAGCCACCATGTGTTTGCCACTTGGTAGACCAAACCAATCCAACTCACTTATGAGTGAGCTTCAGAAAAAGGAGCCCTTCCTAGTCCATCATGGGTTGTGGCGGGTTAAGCAGCCAGCTCACTCAATTAAAAAAAAAATATTACAACTTTTTAGTTTTGTTGTTTTTCTCTTCAATCTACTATTTTTTCTAATATGAAAATTGGAACTAAATTCCAAATCACTGGAATAACCATGACAAATTAATCATCATATGTTAATATATTGAAAATAACCACGACAAATAAATCATATGTTAATATATATAAAATAGCCATGCCATATTTGTGTGTGTATAAATTACCTGCAAATGATACTTCTAAACATCATATTAATAGGCATACGAAACACAAACACTAAAGGATAGTTCTAAATAACATCCAAATAAAATCTAAATCATCTCAAAAGTTAATCCAACATATTGATCATAAAACTTAAGCACAACATACAATTCAAAATCATAAAAGTACAAATTACTATCTAACATCAAATCATTTATGTCCCCAGCCTTTCTTTGACATTAGAGTTAAAGTCTTGAATAGAGAAATTCCAAACACACTAATATGCTGAAGCATCTTCTTTATCCTTATCTACAATAAAAAGAAATGTTAACTCATAACAAAAAAAGATTAAGTAATAAATAATTTGATGAGCGGCGTTGCTGGCAGTAATATGACATGAACTGGAAGAATAATGTAATTCAGCAACATCAGGCAATGAAGAGTGGAGTGAGGGAGAAAGTAACCCATGAAGTGAGAGATTTTGATTTTGAGAAAAAGAATTGAAGGAGAGAAGGAGAGCTGGAGAAGAGCACGGACCCCTGGGCCATGTATATTTCCCCCATCTCATTTTTTTAATTATTTTGTGCTGATGTCGAGCCACTTTAGGGTGTTCTTTAAATTTTTTTGTCACATGTTGGTGAGCTGGGTTCTTAGTGGGTTGGGTTTGATTTCAGCTCGTACTAAAATTTGCAATTTTCTTACTCCTTTGACAGTTCTAACTCTGATATGTTGGAGCATAATTACAATGCGATTGAACTCCAAACTCAGTCAATCATCACAACACTTTGAAAATGAACAGGATTAATATTTTAAACAAGCACCAAGTTATTATCTTCATTTGGAATATGGATTTTAGCATAATGTTGCATGCACATTATAGTTATTTATAAGTTACAATCTAACAAGATCCGTTTGCAGGCAGACGTATTTTTAGCACCTCAGTTACATACAGCATTCAAAAGATTCAATATCCCAATGGTAGTATTCTGTCTTTGGTCTCTTTTTGTTCAGATATGTTTGACAGTAGGATTTCTCAAAAATACATGAATTTCTCACTTTAACAACACATTGGTTGCTAAAATACTTGCAGTCGATTTCACAAAACTAAAACTGGTCCTTGAAGCATCTGGAAGATGTGTTAATTGTAGGACTTCAAATTTGGGTAGAACTAGTCAATGTATAAGTGTTGAAGGGTTAAAGAAGCTTTTGTAAAATAGTTAATGAAGCAAGCAAACCAATGCAAGTCAAATGAATCTTACTTGGCTGAACATGCATGATGGTGATGTAAGGAGGAAGTTACAACCTCTTCATTAATGATGTGGTTAAGTTGATGAACTTGCATAGTTTTCTCATTAATTTGGTTAAATTCATGAATTTGCGTAATTTCCTCATTAGTGATGTGATTAGGTGAGTTCATGCATCTTTCCACTTTGTTCTACCTTAGAATATTTTATAAACTTGTAAAAGTTTTTTATAAATGTTTACAACCCTCTAGAAAGTTGTAAAACACGTTTCCTTCATTTTTCTAAAAATTACAAATGATGTTATACTTCCTAATTTATTCTTCAGGTTCCTTCATTCTTCTTTTTGTCATTCTTCCCATGTACTTCTCTTCTCTTTCTTTTTCTTCTTTTTCTTTGTTCATGTCGCTAATAGTGACTTCTTGAGGTGATTCTCATCCTTCCAAGCTCTCATCTTCTCTTTGAATTGTTTCTTCTTCGTCTACGGTCCCATTTTATTGACATGATATCGATTATAAATTTTAAAATTTAGAACTTTTGTTTTTCTGTAGTTTGCAAAAAAAATTTTATTGTTTGTTGAATATTTTTATTGTGACTACTTATTTGCTTTTTATCGTCCAAGCAGAACGAGTTCCCTGTTCTGTCAAGATTGCATGAGACATATTCTACGATCCCCGCATTCCAGGAGGCTCTACCAGAGAACCAGCCAGATGCAGTACACTAGTTGAACCAATAATTTGGGACCGGTAATCAATCTCTAACGAACTTTGGAAAACTTTAATAACCTCCATTTATTATTTGAACCGTATTTTTAATGTGCCAATATATTAGGCCTAAATAAATTCCAGATTTTCAATGTCACCGATTTTTGTGGAGTACCTAATTTATTTATTTTTTTCGATTTGGGTACCTAATAGATTAAACATTTTGCTTTAAGTCTCTTCTGTAATGTCCATCGGTTTTACTATTCAGGTGTTCATTAGGTTGTACCGATTCATATAATCTAGAGTATTGAAGCATGATATACATTAAGTATCTTCTGTCACTTATACTGACATGGCACATTGATTGTAATGATAAAAATAAGTTGAGCAATTAAAAGAAAATTTAAAAACATTGGAAGGATTAATAAATATCTATTTAGGAACTTGAACTAAAATTTTCTAATTTATTCAAAGTTCAATTTCAAAAAATATTGAGTACTTCAAACAAAAATTAGTATTAAAACTTTTATATCATACTAATTTTGAGTGTCCCTTCTTTTATTTGGCTAGCAGTTTTTAATTTCAAACTATTTTTATTTATTGTTCCCAGGAAATTTGATCTGATATTAATAGGGGAAATTGCAGCAGGGATTTGTCATCCGGTTGAATTTGTTGTTATTAAGGTATAAAAAGATACTCAGTAATAAGGTTACCACATCCAACGTGTGTATCACACATCCTGTGTAGTTCAAAAGCTATTTTGATTTGGGTTATATATTGTATGTCTGTAAAGTGTTGTAGTATCTTTAGTTCCAAATCTTAATGATCATGTTTTTACGTTAAATCGATGTTTCAAAAAAGTTTGAGCTCATGACAATGATGGTTTTTTAACAATGAATTGTAAGTTCTGTAGATTAGGTTCAACATATTATTCAACTCTAACGCAGTCAGAAGTGGGTTTATGGGGTGAAGTCCTTGTCATGCATTAGAATGATGTCATTTTTATATTTTGTAAGAATGAGGAACGCAAGCTTATGACATGTGTCACTACACCAACCATAAACCTCACCATTCCTTTATTCTCTCATTAGTCATGTCAGACTGACTCCAATTGTGCATGGTTGGAAGAAATTAAAAAGTCTTCATTTTATGTTTTCTTAGAATGTTGGTTGAAATTTGTAAATGTTTTTCTTCTAAAAAATGTTATTTTTATGCATTCGAAGTTTATGGGTGCAGGAAAAAAAATCAGTGCATTCCTTTGAAAATCCTACATTTTTTATGACATATATTTACCAGGATGTTCCTGTAAATATAGTAAGTGTCACGTACTTAATGTATTAATTAGGACATTCCATTGAAGATAATGAACATTATATTGTTGTGGGATTAATACTGTGGATATAATATGGATTTATGGACTATTTTCTTTTGACAAATTATTTGACTAACTTGATATTGAGTATCTGGAATAGGGACTAGATAGAGGAGATTTACCTATTCGCATATTTTTGGTGTTTAGATTAATCGGTGGAATTTTATTGATGAGTAATGTATAATCTTTTTTGTCGGTAGTATAGATATATACACGCATCAATATTTACTACAGGCAAATTCGTATACCACTAAACAATAGAAAAACAACTATTAAATCTATAGATTTTACACAATTTTTTGTAATTGTCAAAAAACATAACCTTACTAAAAACAGTTTCTAATTACCTAAAAACAATAACCAAATAATATAATGTTATTCCAATTCTAACCTGTTTCTCGGTTATGTTAAATGTAATTGAAGTTAAAACATCACTAAGAAAGCATAAAAGATAACAATTTCAAATAATGTAGCTATAACATGTTTGATGATATAATAAATCATAATAAGAGATGTAGAGGATATGAAATTCATGTCCGTTGTAAAATTAAAAGTTTAAAGCGTTTAAAGTACTTTTAAAATTTTTACATAACACGCACTCCACTATATAACTCGACTATATAATAACACTTTACTTATCCACTATGTTTCTCATGAAATATTCATTTTATAAGTGCGACTCGTCTGACGTCTTTACAAAACTTCCATGTAAGCACCACTATCTTAACTCTAGTTTGTCTTTCTTCAAAGTTCCCCACAATTGTCACAGGAAGCTCCAAGTTCACTTTGTCTTGTACAATTTGTTTGATTAGTCAGCGTCAAACAAAACCTACAAAACCTTCGATCTGTTCATAGTGTTAGAATTTTATGAATCAAAGGATGAGATGAAGACTCATGTCCGTGTTAGTAAAAGTTTTAATTGTCTAAGTTTTAGGGTTTGTTTAGCAAAACCTTCGATCTGATCATCCACAAATCAAATTCAAGTCTTTCATCTGTTATAAGATTGAACAATATGATATATTTTTACATTCATTTAACATAAAATATAAATATAAAATAATTATAAAAATATAAATTTTTATATATTTTTAAAAAAAATAAAAATAAATAAATAAATAAAGATAAAATTAAATAAATATATAAAATATAAGTATGTCAAATAATTATTTTTGTTTAAGATTAGTTATTAAAGTACATATAATATTTATCCAAATCATATCCACTACTTTATTGAAAAGCCGCTTTACAAATGTTACACGTTTGATATTTCTTTTTAATATTTTTTATTACACTAAATTTTTTATATTTATTATTTTTTTCTTTCTTTTTAAAAAAAAATACGTTTATATTTTTATAACTATTTTATTTTTGTAATGAAGGTAAAAGTATATTATTTTTTTTCTATCTGCAACAAACATGAAAATGATCATTACAAGAAGAATTCTTATATAATCACAAAACAAACCTGTACGTGTCACTGTTGATGTGAAGAAGCGTCACTCCTGATGTCAATTCTTGAACGTGTGAGGTGAAAAACAATCAAGAGGCTTGACTAGGCACAGTATTGTATATAATTTCCATGCGCAAGTTGAGGCAAATATGTCAAACAGGGTTAGGAATGCGGAAATACTGACCGCAGAGGTGGGTTTAGCCTGCGACTGAGCTTCGTAGGTGGTACTGACATGGTATGGTATGGTACTATGTTATGGCATTAAGCCACAACACCAACTTGCTTTGCTTTATTTCCTTACCCTTTTTTTGTTTGTGTGCATGTTTCATGTTTGATGAGGAGGCCACTGAGAATAAGCTGAAGCTGTATTCACACTGGATAAGCTCCTGTTCCTTCCGAGTCCGATTTGCTCTCAACCTCAAAGGTTAACTCACTCATTACTACCCTCTTACTCTCTTACTTCCTTTCTTCCAAATGTCTCACCTTCCCATTTATTTTCTTCTGTTCAGGACTACCTTACGATTATCAAATAGTCACCACATTTTCTGATCCCGGTTTGTTTATTTGTTTGTTTTCTGTTCTACCAAAATTGTGAGTTGAGTTATGCTGATCAATTCAGTTCCCTCTTTGTGACCTTCTTCTTATGCCTTTGATCTGTGTTTAGAGTTTCTCAAGCTCAACCCTATTGGATTTGTCCCTGTGCTGGTGGATGGCGATTCAGTAATTGCTGACTCTTTTGCCATTATTATGGTAAGTGAGTGAGGGAGTGAGTGATTCCTCATTTCTTTTCCATTGTCTTATTTTCTTATTCGGTTTTCACATGCAGTACTTGGAGGATAAGTATCCTCACCCTCCTTTGCTTCCTCATGACATTCTCAAAAGAGCAATCAATTTCCAGGTACAATTATTACTTGATTTGTTTCAACTTTCAGTTCTCTATCAGATGCCATCTGTTGTAATAATTTCATTCCCGTTCACAGGCTGTCACCATTGTTTCCTCATCTATACAACCTTTTCAAAACTATACTGTTGTGGTACATTTAAGTGCTTTTTTTTATTGAACAGTCAAGCGTATCTATATGTTACATTATTGTTCATTTGTTTCTTTTCTTGAGGCAACTTTATCACGACGCAAGGGTGCATATAATGTATTATTTATTCTGGTCCTTTTGCATTTGCAGAAGTATATAGGGGAAAAAATCGGCCCTGATGAAAAACTTCCTTGGACCCAACGTGTAATAGGAAAAGGCTTTACGGGTGAGGTTTTTCTAACTTGTTCACCATCACTTTACAGTTTAATTGGAGAAGGTTTTTTGTGTCAGTTTCAGTAAGTTGCCTGCTTAAAACTTGAGGGAAAAGTTTTTCCCGTGTTAGTTAATTCCAACATTTCTACTGTAAGACATTCTGTTCATATTCTTAAAGTTTGGATTTCTGAGTTCATTTATTCTGTCAAGTATTGTGCCAAGTTCATTAGTTAGTATATTAGTTACTTTTTGTTAATAACTGTTTGACAGTGTTATGTTAAAGTCTGGGTTATTCTGACCATTCATATTCCCATCTATGTAAGGAACCATTGCACCATTGCTTTCAATTATGAATGCAGAATTCATTTCTCAGTTTCTCTAGTCATACGAAATAAGTAGAGATCCTTTCACTGTGTTTTCAGATTATTCAATCCCTTCTATCTTCTCTCTGAGAACTGTCTAACATTTATGGCTTAGATAAGTTTTAAATCCCCAATATGTGACTAATTTTTTCATTTAAATTGGGTACCTAATAAATCAACCATTGTGGTTTAAGTCTTTTATATTATCTGTATCAGTTCTATTAGTTATAGTTAAACTTTTCCATGTGTCTCATTATCTTGAGTGGACAAGTCTCTTCCATTCCCTATATTTAGATGATACATCACCATATGATGCAAAAATGTCTATTGTTATGATAAAAAAAGATCAATCACATATTAGAGACTGAAAATAATTTAAGCCAACATTTATTGACAAAAAACTATCTACAGTAACTAAGAAACTCAGATCAATATACAAGAATGAAATTTCATTTAGGAGGGTAAGAACAAATAAGATTGTTTTGTTTCTGTTTTCCCATATGTATAACTCTGTTTACTTTACAAACTAGCTTGTTATCCAAGAATAATAGCTAAGGTTTTTGTTACGTAGCTTGTCTCTTTGTAGAGATAATATTGCAAGTAGTTTGATTTGGGGTTCTTGTACATTTACATTTTTTTTAGGTGAAGGTGAGCGTTTGGGCTCCAAATTAGGTCTTTTAAACCTCTAGGGTCCTGCTGTGTGTGTATATATATGTATATATCACCCTTTGGCTAATATGAAGTTTAACACAAAAAACTGTGATTATTTTGCGCCATTTAACAGTGTTTTAGATAAGAGTTAATTAAATACTGAAATGCTATTGTACATGTGTTTCAGCACTTGAAAAACTGTTGAAAAACCATGCAGGAAGATATGCAACTGGAGATCAAATTTTCCTGGTATGTTAATGGAGTTTAATAGCATCACTTTGCTTCTTTTCCAAGGTCCGATAACCTAAATATCTTCTCTAGTAATACGACACATTACTTTGCCTGCCCATAACATTTATTCTTATGCTCTGCAGTACAATTTTAGTGCATTTCAACTAAAAAGTCAACACACATTTCTGAAAATGACAATGTTACACCCTTAAAAACTCAATAACTCAGAAAAAAAAAATCCACTAATATTTTAATCTGATAATAAATCCAACATAATTTAAGCTTTTAGCCAACAAAGGGTTTATAAAACAACTTAATACATAAGCCAATATATATATGTTATGTGTGTGTGTTAATGTTGATGAACTACCTTAACACTGCTTAGAGTTTCATCAATACCTACATCATTCCCTGCTCATCATATATCTAATACAATCACATCAGGGCACCCCACAAAACACAAAAACAATTCATAAAGCATAAATCATTCCACGAAATAGTTAAAGATAGCAATTTATACTAAGTTCTACTCATCCAAACAAGATCAAATACGACTTATCAGAAAGCTAAGAAACTCTTATGAAGACTTCAAGTTGTAAAAAAACATTTACTTAGCTTAAAAGTTCAAAAATTGCAACAACTTCAACTAAAACTGACAGCTTGGCGTTTACTCACTAAAAGACTCGTAAATACACCTAGAAGCTTTTAATTCCAAAATAACAAAAATATAAATTACAAACAATCTAAAGGTTAGTTGAGAAGAATCAAAGTTCTCAACTACACCACTAAGGAAGAATATGGAAATCAAAGGGATTATAGAGCAAAAATGATCTTACTCTATTTCCAACTACCCTATCTCACAACTATCCATAAATTAGATCCAATCTTGAAGATGAGAAATGAAGTCAGTTTTTTAGAGAAAATGAGAAGCTAGAGAGAATAAGAAAGGAGAAAGGAAAACAATCGGCATCTATTTTTTTTTTCTGTTTTTCCTAAAGAAAAAAGAAAGAAGATGAAATAGAAAGAAAGATGAATTGAATGAAGCTGGGCCTGGCCAAAAGAGTTTTACAGAAAAGGGTTCGGCACAGCAAGAAGGGCTTGTTCTGTATCTTTGTCAGAGTATACTTTTCAGTTGCATGTTCTATTTATAATCTAACAGAGAAATGATTGTGGTTTGCAGGCAGATATGTTTTTAGCACCTCAGTTAGATGCAGCAATTAGGAGATTCAACGTTGACATGGTATTATTCTGTCCATGATTCACTGACTTCATTTTTTAATATTCACCCTTTAATGATAACAGCCCATAATTGGATGAGTGTAAAAAGTATTATACTGTTAGTCCATACTAATTAAATCCTTATTTAGAAAGTTATATCTATGAATTTTAATCCATTGATAGTGTAACATTTTTTAAACTTACGACTTTATCAAGACGAAGCTCATTGTGTTAAAATATTTTCATATTTCATAGCTTTCGATACATACATATGGTTATTTCATGATGCCAAATCTTAGTTCATATAATCATATCTGTTGTCCAAATTCATAGATCTTTATTCCTTTTCTTGTTCAAACAGAAGGAATTCCCTACTCTATCAAGATTACATGAGGCATATAATGAAATCCCAGCATTTCGGGAGGCTTTGCCAGAGAACCAACCAGATGCAGTTCATTAGTTGAACCAATAATTTGGGAATGGTAACTGATCTATACATTATAGCACCATATGAAAATTTTTATAGCCATTTTTGGTTTAGTTCTGTTAACTTGCTGAAGATAACAAGTCATATTCTACATTATATTATACAAATTATATCTGGGTTTAATGACTTCAAACTCCAATCATTGATCAAAGAAATGTGACCTGATATTAGGTTGGAAATATTGCAGAAGCAGCCACTGATTCAGCGGTGTTATTAGTACTCTTGCAATAGAGTTGTTAGATACAATAGGAGGAACAGTTGATGAAAGTGATTTAGTTTGTATGGTTAAAAATCCTTGTGATTATCTTTCATCTCATATTGCTGCTAGCATACTGAGATTACATAATTCTTAAACGATCTACATGTTCCTATTATTTCTCTGCTTTGTTTCTTTGATGCTTTTGTTGACTTAACTGCATTTTGGACCTATTATTATGGTCTATGCTTGATTTGGATTTCTCAATAAATTTTTTCCTCGGATTTTAGATGTTCTAAATGAATTTTAAGAGATAGAAAATGATTTAAAAAGTTAAGAAATTGAAAATCTGTTTTAAACATTTTTCGAAGTCGTGATTTTAATTTTTGAAGATGGAAAATTTTCGGATTATTTACTTGATTAATATAAAAGTTTTGTTGTAGGTTTTGTTGGATAGAAGATTTCAAGAAGCTTCAAGGAGATTAGTTCATGAAGGCTTTTTAGGAAAAAAAAATGAAAATATGTAAATTTAGATTAAGATAATGGAAAAATTTGATTGTAAAAATTTTAAAACTTTTGAAGGACTCTTTCATTAAAGTTAAAAATTTGAGAGCCAAATTCTGAGTACAGAAATTTCTCAAAAGTTTATTTGGCTGTTAATGAAAACTAATTAAACATTTTTTTTCTAGGATTTAAGATTAAAAAATTTACATGGGTTTGCTTTTTGGTATGTGTTTATTTTCCAATAACAAATTAGTCATGTTTCTGGACTATGCATTCAAAGTAAAAAACATAACAGAAGAGTTGAAAGTGAAACATAAAAATATATACGAAAGATAGTGATATTAAGAATAAATGGATATTTTTTTGTCCACAAGAGAAAGATAAGTTTACCTTGACAAAGGAAAAACTATTAAAAAGGAAGAAATAACAGTCAAATATATTGTTTAAAATGAAAAAAAAAAAAGAATCTTCACAATAAACACTATAAAAAGAATAAAAAGGAATGTTTAATTATTTATTTGGTTGCTAATTTCGTTCAAAAGTAACAAGTTAGTTTTTTAATTTTTTTTAGTTTTAATTTGATTTATTTTGTGAAAAATGATGTATTTGGTTTTGATCTGTGAAAAATTAATGTAATTTAGTTCTTTTCTTTAAATTTTTTGAAATGGATTAATAATGATTTTTTACAATATTGAAAAATTAATATAATTTAGTTTTTTTTTTAATTTTTTGAAATAGATTAATGATTTTTCAAAGACAAATGGTTAATATAACCTAAAAATAACATAAAACGTTAGAAATATGCCATCTTTACAGAAAATTTATAAATGATAGTCTAATATTTTAACAAAAAAATAAGTTGAATTATAGTATTTCTAAAATTAAATTCCTGGTTAAAAAATAATTATATTAATTTAAAAAATCATAATTTAAGAAAAGTAGCCCATTACCACGTGTTTTGTTTCTGTTATAAATTCGTTAAAAGATGATGTATTTACTGAATCTTAATTGTAAGAAATAAAAATACTAATGTTACTGATTATATTTTCGTGATGAAGATCAAAAAATAAATGAAAGAAATATTTTTAAGTCATCATCTTTTCACCAACTAATATATTGATGATGTTTCCGTAAAAGTACTTTATTACTATTGCTATTATTATTATAAAAAAAACAAGAGTGTACAATAATTTTTAATCATACAATAATTTTATGCAATTATCGTATCACTAATTGATTTTATAATCTTGATAACTAATATATAATTATATTATTCAAATTTAAATTTCTTACGTCTACTCAAGAAAGTATTCTGATGTACTAGAAAATTCCGAGTATTTGGTAAAGGTTAATGAGTTGAAAAAGTCTACATAAGCTTTTTTGTGGTTGATTTTGATTTTAACGAGACTTGTTCAATCATCTGCTAAATCATCAATAAAAATTGTGTGCATTTTCATAAATAAATTATTAATTGTTTTATTTTAAGAAATATCTGATACTTTTTTACTACCTCACAAGTGTCCTTAATATAGGAAAGTTTAAATATAAATATTAAATAATTTTGTAAATGAATATGGCATCGAATATAATCGCTCTATTTTTAAAATAAAAAAAAACAATAACTGTTTTATGTATATTTAATATCACAATTTTTATTAAATTAATTTTAAGTAAATGTTGGAACCACTATATATATAATCTAGTTTGTACATATTAAATTTTTTATAATAATAATAGCATTTCTTGATATCTCATGCTGTAATTACTTTAATTATAATTCAATCGTATGGTCTTGTCTATGAAATGAGTAAATGCTTATTTTAGGTCTTAGATTTCTTTTTCCCCTGATATTGGAAATCATTACTTTATCTCTGTTCTTACATCGTACTAAGTTAACATGTTTTTTTAGTAAACTAAAGGTTAAAAAATCATTACTTTAGGTAAGATACATAAAATAAATATTATTTCTCGAAAAATTAATCTTAGAAATTAAAAATATCTATTTAAATTTCTGGATTGAATATTAATTTTAAGTGAAAATTAAAATTAATTTATTTTTGAAATTTAGATTAATTTAGTTTTCAATCTTTATAACTTTATAATTTTCAAATTTTGTTAAATTTTTTTATATTTGATATTTTATTTTAATGTTATTTTATAAAAATTAGAAACATGTTTGAAATTATTAAATAAAATTAATAAAATTTAGTTAAAAGAATTAAGAGATTAAAATCATATTTAGTTATTAAATGTAAAGATCTGTTATTGGGAACTAAGAGATTAAGAGATGAAAATTAAAATTAATTTATTTTTGAAACTTTGAATTAATTTAATTTTTTATCTTTATAACTTTTAATCAGTTAAGTTTAGTTGTTGTTTTATATTTTTATTTCAATGTTACCTTATAAATATTATAAACATGTTTGCAATATTAAATAAAATTTAATTAAAAGAATCAAATTTATTTATTTTTAAAAATAAAAAACTAAAATGATAAAAATTAAGAATTTATTTTTTTAAATTTTCAATTTTAAAATAAGAGATTAAAATCATATTCTACCCAAAATTTGGTGAGAATGAGTGTGACTCTTCGGTTCTTCCACAACGGCAGGTAAAGTTTGTAAGCATGCGAAGACCAAAACCAACATAGTCCTCCAAAACTTGATGGATTGGATTGTAGCTGAAACATTCAATTCGACCCCTTTTCTCAATCAGGAATACAGCATACATTACACAGGATCTTATATCTAAAGTATTGAAATGAAATAGTTGGAGAAGTGGTCTATAGAAGAGTTTGATTGAACAGATTTTAAAAATCAAGTTTAATGCATAAGTGGGTAAGTGGGGATATAATATAAGTTGAAGGAATTGAATGGTGTAATAAATGTTGAGAACCACTAAGCAAAGCGAAACAAGACAGATTTGAATAGGTCAACTTGTTTCCAGTGCAGTTGACGAGACACTACTTCAATGCAGTCTTCCCTACGCTGACAGTGATGCCACAACACAACCCTCTTCTAGATAACAATACATTAATCTTCTTTTTCTTCTAACTCCTACTCATCAACCTTCAAACATTACTTTTGTTCCTATCTGTGGAATATCTCCCACTCTTACCAAGTCTACAAACTAATGTGCTTCTGTTCTATCCATCTACGTGTTAGATTACTGTCTCTTTCAATATATGGTTTTTCATAAATCAAAAATCCATTTTTTGTTGAGAAAAAGTTGTTGTGTAATTAAGATAGTGAACAACAAGATCATAGTAAACAAGTGTCAAGATATTTTTTTAAGGAGGTTACCAAAAAGGGACTAAAAAGGAATGAATATGTATATGAGGACTGTATGTGACAGAAATTGAAATAGAGGAACTTTGAAGCCTTTGCTCCAGGACAACCTTTATTGACTTCTATTTTAGTTTGTTGTTGACTTTGGGTTGTGTAATTAATTTATAGTGAATAAATTTGGATGGAAGGTGAATGAGAAAGGATTTTAGTAATCACATAGTTATCAGTGGGGAGGTTTTGAGATCCATTGAAGTTGAAAATGTGGGAAAGAATATCAGTAGTTCTGCTGCTTGTTTTGAATTATGTGTTGGTTGCAAAAGGAGAAACAGACGATGTGGATTGTAAGTTCAGTTTTCTAGTTATATACTGTGTTTTTTATCATCTTCTGCGCATCTTCAGAGCAACCAGAAGGTGGACAACTATATACAGAAGATGTCATTTACTGAATTGTATTCTTTGGTGTGACTTTTATGCAGTTTCCACACTTAAGTCTCTTACGAGTACCTGGAAGAACACCCCTCCAGAGTGGGAGGGTACAGATCCTTGTGAAGATTGGGAAGGAATCAAGTGCAAGAATACACGTGTTACATCAATGTAGCTTCTGTTACTGAATATGTTTACTTGTTTTTCCCTTATCCTAAGTGTGTTTTTGAGTGATTGATTTATTTATTTCAGAACACTGGCAAGTACTGGTTTGGGTGGTCAGCTTTCTGGAGATATTGGATCACTGTCTGAATTGGAGATTTTGTAAGTATTTTATTCAGTATATTCTTTTTCTATATCTACCAAAGGCAATGATCAAGTCATAAATCGAGGTCATATACCTCAAGTGAGGGCAATTTGTCACTTGGATATGCATCTCAGAAAGTATTGGTGCTAATTAAACTATTAGCTCGCGTTTTTATGATTTGATCTATTTTTGGGTTCTTGATTCTTCTTTTTCTGGTTAAACTAACTAGTGTTTTTTCTCTACAGGGATCTATCTTACAACAAGGAATTGACTGGACCACTTCCACAATCCATCGGGGATTTGAGGAAGCTGTCGAACTTGTAATGCAGAATTGATTGCTAAAGTAGTAACTCGTCTTAAGTGGTTTTGATAAAAACAATTCTAACAACATTTTCTTACTCATTTGTCAACAGAATTCTTGTTAGCTGCAGCTTCAGTGGTCCTATTCCAGACAGCATAGGAAATATGCAGGAGCTCCTGTACTTGTATTGCTTTTTAACTCATTAATCGGTCTAAAACTCACTGAATGTTGGTTTCATGGTTCATGTTCGTTTGTATTTTCTACAAGAGGCTTCTGAC